AATTTCACGAGAGATGTGAAAACGTTCTGGCCTTGTGATCCACCCGACGACGTGGTTTCGCGTTATAAACCGAGGGTTATTTTATAGTACGTCCCGACACGAGCTCGCAAAGCGAAAAAATCTCGGAATATTTGAGGTTTTATTCAACGATTTCCGGCGCTCCTCTTATCGGGTGTAAGGTGACTGCAGAGGCCATTTTTTTAAAGGCCGTCTCTTTCTGAAAACTTACATTCTGAATTTCTATTGTTCTATGATTATACTTACTACAGGGCATTGTGCCTTTCTTATTGAGTAGAAGAATATGGAGCTGAAGGTCCACCACATTCCGAGTCTGTGAGACCTGGATAGGACTGTTTTTTAGAGACTCCTCGTTGGATTGAGAGGAGTCCATGCCGGGAGATCAGGAATCACAGTTCGGCAGTCAAAATGGTGTTAAAGATTTATCCGTCTAAGCAGGCTTAACCATTGCTCGGGGTGTAACTATTCGTAAGCGCTCTAACGGGAGTTTGAAGTTTCAAAGCTAAGATAGACAAAATTACCTAAAAAAACCGACAGACAATCCTGCTGGATACAACCTCCCTAGGAAAGATTGGATTACCCGAAATCATATTCACAACCCCGGTCATGGTAGATGTAGCTACATCATGTACAAGTTAAATGTCGCGTCATCCTCGAACTGTAATTGCAGTCAACTACATCAGACAATATCGCACATTGGCCAACCCGAAGATATGTTCAACGAATTGCCGGAAACTATTTCATGGATAAATAATCTTAACAACAAACTATGGATGTCCACCGAAATAAACCGAAATAATTTAGTTCGTTCCACTAAAAGTACCATATTCAAGTAAAACACTGTATACACATTGTTACTGTTCTGTTTATTGTTTTGTTTGTTTTAACCCTGTTAATTGTGTACGATATTATTTTACCATTCTATTAATCGTTATAGTCGGCATCAACATTGTTACATGTTCTCTGTTTCGCCATAGTACCATACGAATAAATAAATTGTGCCTTCTGGAGATTTACTTTCTGAATTCCTATACGAGTATATACGTTCTGGTACATTATATTGGTAAATAAAAGTACGTCAGCGTGTACTTCGATTTGTATTTATTTTTTTTATGTTTGGATCACACCGCCTTCCTGAAGCTTCCTACACAAGACGCGAAACCGCCTCGCAACCGCAATATTATAATAATCTAGTCGCCAAAAACCCACCGCTCGTACAGCGCGCGTATTAATAATATATGATGTAATGCGGAATGTCTAAAATAATATTCATGAGACGAGAAAAATGATTTTTTTTCCCCTCTCGCGAAGTCAAAGCCGGATGCAACACCGATAACATAAAAAAAAAAAAAAAAAAAAATAATAAAAAAAAAAAAAAACCGCTTAAAAGTATCACTGGATCGTAATAATATAATAATAAAAAAAAAATGTAATCGCGATTTATTCGGACGGCTTTAATATAATATTATAATAAACACGGCGGCGACCGCGACGTTTAAAAAATGATACAATATAATATTTAATCCGACGTGTAGTTTTTTCTTCCAAAACGTTATATTTCAAGATAAATACTATAATATAATATGTTTAAAAGAAAAAAAAAACCGCTTAAAAGTATCACTGGATCGTAATAATATAATAATAATATGATAATATTATGTGCGTGTGTAAAATTCTTCGTCGCTAATGTGCCGTAATAATAATAATGTATAATTCTATCGGTAATATGCATATTGCGTATATGTACTTACAAAAAAAAAAAAAATTTAAAAAATACGTGCGCCAATATTAAAACATACGCGTATAATATGCGTGCACCGCGTTCAAAACGTTTTTGTGCATCACTTAAATTCCAATATATACCTATTACCTTATACGGAACGATCAATTCTCGATAAACGACTGAAATTTCGTTTGGATAATTTTTTTGTGCATTGAATTTTTTCGGAATACTTCTTTTATTTTCTTTCTTTTTTTTTTTTAACCCAATTATCTCTGAATGAATATAGCATTTCCGTTATTTTAGGCGGTGAACCCCGCTGTTCACTTTTGATTTTCAAAATTGAAAGTGTCAAATATCTATAAATAACGTGAAATCGCCAGACTATTTTAAATATTACACCGCGTATAGGAAATAATATTATTAGTATTTCGTGTACATTTTAAATCTATACGGTTAATTTAAACCGAATAACGACAAAAAAAAAAAAAAACAAAATAAAAATTTAACAATAAAATAATGATATTTTTTTACAATTATTTAAAACAACGATAAAAATAAAAGTTCTTTGAAAGATTAGGTTTAGCTTTTTTTATTATTATTCATCGGTAATTCTTCCGGTATGAGTGCCTTTTTCGCTAGGCTTGAAGATCGGTAAAACTAATGTTTTGAAACGCCGTAATTTATATGATTCTCGTCAAAATTTGAACTTATGTTTAAAAAAAATTACTACTACACTGTACTCAACCTTTTTTTGACACTAAGTACTCTCTTCTACTCAACTAATATCATTTGATCATCAGAATGTTTTGAAAATTTCACCAAGTCTATAAAGTGCTAACATAATTATCTTATGAAAATATCAGGTTTTTACGGTTATTCCTAACCGAATTACAATAAAAATGACGGCCTAGAAAAATGGATACAGGTTCAGCCACTGTTATAGATGATTTAATATATACCTGAAACAACGATAAACCATTGCTTACGAATAAAACGATTCTGATGGGAGTTCAGTTGATAATGATACTTTGTCAACAATATATGTCATTTTATAGTAAAATAATTAAATAGACTTTATATATTTTCTTAAATAATATTTGTTTAATGTTTTACAGATTTTCTCAGTTTTCCTACGTTTTTCCTATTTTCTTCTGTTTTTTTTTTCGATTTTTCAAATTTGATAAGAAAACTCTTGAGAAAATCGGAAAATTACCTCCTTAAAGTACCTCTTTATATCGAATTCCTTTCAAGAAAGGTGCTGTACTTAAAAATCTGGGCAAGTCTTCTGGTAGAAAAGTTGCGCACAAATAAAAAATAAACATCTTCGCAAAACTATACTATAACCTTCTTAGCTCCACTCAGAATTTAAAAACAAAATTAGAGATACGTAAAATTTCTCATTTCTTACATTCTTCTCCGTTTTTTCTTACTATCAAGACAGCTACTTCATTGTTTAATAAACTTAGAAGGTTTTATCTCAGGCAGTTTTGTGGTGGGAAAAAATGTTGTTAGTCAAAGATGCTTGAAATTTATTATTATTCGAATTTTACACGGTAATAAATCTATCTGTAGAAAATATAAAATTTATCGCACACGTATACTTATAACGAAAAATCTTATTTCGATTTGTATCTATCCGGTTGGAGAATTCCGTGTTACCGTTAGAAACAAACACACAATATTTGTTTCTGTAATCGAACAAAAAATTAAATTAAACAACTGCCTCACAAAAGACTATAATTCTTTTTCAGTCAGCGCGATTATCCTTGATCCTTTGAAAACATATTATATTGTGTGGCGTAGGTACGATGTTCGTGGTACTACTCTCATAGATAATTCATCGGTGGGAAAAACGAAATTGAAAAATCCCAAGACGAACAGGTGCATGTGGTAATAATATAGCCGTGTTCTCTTTTTGATTGCTCGTTAAATTTCAAGTTTATCGTTGACGAAAATCCGTCTGCTAAAATCGTTCCTCTCGTGTAGCGGTGGTCATGTTGTTTTTCACACAGTGCGCGCGAACTGTTGTTATATATTAATTTAATGTTCACGATGGGTCGGGCGGATACGGTGGCTAACGAATATGCGCCGGGAAATACATCGGCGGGAATAGCTATCTAGGTATGGAAAACGATCGTGAAAAAAAAAAAAAAATGAAAACAATTGATTTATCTGCAGATCGGAACGTCATATCGGTGGATCGTTTGAATTAATTACGTAACATGTTGTGTGAAACGTGAAAACCGTAGGGGAAGACCGCGGTCGGAGTACGACGGTGCGGGACAAACGGCGATGGACCGAGGACGCGTAATCCTTGCGAAGGAATCGAGAGGAAATCAAGCGGGTAGAGCGGAGAATCGCTGCCGCGGACCGATCTGTAGATCGGGAAAGAAGAAAGAAAACCGGTGACGGGGGGAGGGGGGGAAGGCGTTTACAGGTGCTACGGCGAGGGGATACAACCGAGTTCGGGCGCGGTCGCGCATAAGTACGGTGCAGGTGACGGTCGTGGATCCGCCCCGGACACCGCGCCGGCCGCGGCCACTGTTCGACGCATGTCTGCGCGCGCGCCGCGTTTCCGGTCCGGTGGACATTCCTGCGGTAAACCACTTCCTCGTCGTGGCCGTATACATTATATTTGGAAATAATTCGTAAAGGCACTTCGTACGACAGCGTCTCGCTACACAACAACACGTACAATACCCCCTACTGTATTATACCGCGCGGAGAGACCGTGATAATAGTATGGATCTCGTGTATACATGTATATTGAAACGTCTATAATATTATATCGGATGATAATATTATAGCAACAATAATAACGATCATAATAATCGGTCGGGGTAAAGAACAATAAAACGAAATATTTGTATACAAAAAAAAAAAAATAATAAAAAAAAATATATATATATATTATAATAAACCCGGAGAGAACCGACAAGAATGTGCTGCATCATGCAACACGGTAATTGTGCCGCGCGTTCCCGCAATACCGTGTGACTTATACTTCGCTGCCCGTAGTGTTTAATCGTAACGCGCGTCGTATACGACCGAATTCTGTGCGCGTACCCGAGCCGCCGCCGCCGCCGCCGCCGCCGCCGGGCCGTCCCGTCCCCGCGATACGTTTTTCGTCAAAAAACCGATTGTTGTTTTCTCACTCACTTTCTATCTCCCGAACTGCCGGCCGCCGGTACCTAACCCGCCGTCGTCGGTTTCCTATCGTAACGCGCGAACGTCTCGACCCGAAGACGGGAGTCGTCGGCGGCGTCACAAAGGAATCGTTTATCGCGTTATTCCGCGGCGCGTACAACACAATGCGTACATCCTATATACGTGTATAAGTATTACACTACGTACTCCGGTATATCAGAACTATACTATAACTGGCTATACACGCACCGCACGCAACAACAACGTGTGTAAAATCGAATTAGAACACCTCCGTTACGAAATACAGTACGTCTCCGGGGTATCAGGCGGCAACCCTTTATCATTTTTTTTTTTGTTCGAGATTATTACAAAACGACGGTAAAAAAAACCCCGGACGGGGGACATACTGCGCACGTACTTTACGACGCACGGATCGACCGTATAATACATTGTACCTATACGTTTGTGACGATTCGTGGAATAGGTATAAATAACGGCAACGCCGTTGCGAACGGTTCGAAAATCGGCAAAAATGACCAAAATATGTTCGAGTGTGATCCCTCTCCGTATAGAAATCGAAACTACGATATCTGGCTTCGTGACGTCGTCGGGCTCTCGCGGTTCACCCGCGTTCAAAACGTCAGACCTCGTTTAAAATGATCCCGCGACTGAAATAGTCGAACGTATTTACAAACCGGAAAAGTGGGCACACTTACAATATAATATACAATATATTATGAAAAGCAAAAAAAAAAAAAAAAAGAGCTATTACTATTGAGAATTTTGCCACTGTTTTCGGATGGATATAGGAAGTTGTTCAATTCGTCTGTACTCAACAATGAACCGTCGCTAACGAAAAACGATTTAAAACAAAGTATTATTACCTAGTCGTGTTTTTCCCTTATTGCCAAGGTAACACAAAAGTCAACAAATATTTACATTTTTTTTTTCTATCAATTGAGAAAA